ATCATAGATTTTTCTCTTTTTCTTATATTGGCTGTTTCTGTACATAGTTAGAACTTTATGAAATAGAAATAGAGTCTATCTCTTTTCTTTATGGCCTGAATATTTAGTAGCATAGCAGAAACAAAGCTACTGTAAAAGTCTGGACCTGGAATTTATCACATGCTAAAGGAATGTAGTATAGTCAAAAAAGCACATATTGAGGAATTAGGGGTTATGATTCTCATTCTGTCACTTCATATCTGTGACTTTGGAAAAAATATTTAAATTTTTGAGCCCTATTTCCCTCATTATAAAGTGAAGAAACTTGCTACAGAGTGCTTGTAAAGATCAAATAAACTTACCCCAAGATAAAGGGCTTACCTTGTTGTAGGCTCCCAGTATGAGGAAGTTGAAATTCTAGTACATACAGAATCATTTTCCTCCATGTTCTCAGATGCTTGCCTTTTGGCCATTCCATACCTTATTTCTACTCATCCATGTTAGGTAGGTTAGTAGAAAAATAAGCCTTATCTCAGCCATGCCTTTTTGGTGCAGCTCAGGAACATAATGTTAGTTGGTGATAAATATACTGCTGAAATTGGGTTAGGGCATAATCTAGTTTTCTTGATTCATACTACAGGTGGGTCAAAAAATATGCTTACAATCAGTTAGTTTCTCATGATAACCCATAAATATCCTGTTGTAGTCTTTCTTTCTGGAAAAAAAAAAATCTAGCAACAAATTTCTTATAGACTGGAGTATTTATTTCAAGTATATCCCTTACAGAATTCCTCTTGACCTCTCTCTAAATAACCCAAAAGTTGCTTCCTACTTCCGGATCCCTGCTGCAACCCTGAATCAATACTAGATGACTCCAATTGCAGGTTAGCACAGGTTTCAGACAAGCCTAGTGGGTAAAGAGAGAACTTTTCAAAGACAAGAGACAGATAAGCTACAACTTTAACTTGGCAGATGTATTTATTGAAATTGTGGTTTAGGAGAATTTTCCAAAGCCCTTGTAGCTGTAGATCTGATTTGAGAGCTCCAACTTCTCTCTCTTCTTTGGAAATGAATATTATTTAGGAAAGCCCTGTCTTGTTACCTTTGTTTGGTGTAATTACTCATAGTGCCCCCTTTCATTCTTAAGAATTATAATTTGGATGATAAAATGTATGGTCCTTTCTTCCAGGCCTTTTGCAGAATGAAGTTCACCTGTTTTAAGATATATTTTTTGTATTAATCTAAGAAATATTAGAATACCTTTTCTATAGCAGAAGCCCTTGGGACCTCATCTTGCAGTCATTTAAATATTTCTTCAGAGCAATAATTAAAAGCACACATAAGCTAATGAATAACTCCCCATGGCTGTCTTAATGGCAAAAGCAAATAATATAACTTCACAGGGACTCACCAAATACAGCAGCCCTAGGAGAGAAACATGAGGATTTGTCCCTTCAAGTTTAAATTTGCAAAGCAATTTGCAATCATTGTAATTAGTTTTTCCATTTCATAAATATAAGAATAGGTATTCACATTGGACAGAAAGGGAATGGAGACTCAGAGAAACCTAATGCCGTGCATTCTGGAATGTTGTTCTAGGCTTGAATTCTGAACACTTTGTGGTCTTACACACCCTTTACAAACTTGAGTCATCTCCCTTCCTGACGCTGGTGAGAAGATGTGCTGTGGTTTAGCAATTTGAGGGTAGTAAGCTTTTTAAAACATCACCAGAGATGCTTTAGAGTTACTGTGGAGAACAGGTTTCCTTGGTGCCGTGTGGTTGCTGGGACGGGAAAGAATGACACAGCTGTTCTCTCCAGAGGGAGGAAGCACTGGCTCTTTTGGAAGTTGTGTCAAGAAAAAGCTGAGATCTTCCTGATCCTAAGGCATCTGAGCAGGTATATGTTCAGGTTGGGGAAGACTGGTTCTTAAGAAGCATCATAATTGCAGGAGATGGGGTTGAATGAAAGAGGAGACAAGAATGGTCTACCTGCTTGATAATATCCTTTCCATCTATTCAATGTCTGGCCTGATCATAGTTTTTCCCTGGCTCCCTGTCTGCAACCTGGTTCTGAGAGGAGAAAATAAGTTCAAAGCAGGCAGGGGAGCTCAAAAAAAAAAAAAAAAAAAAAAAATAGAGCTTAGATTGCCTTTGTCTTGTGGGAAAATGTACAGCAGCAGCAGAGGAAAGAATAGTGCCATGAAACCAGAGAAGAATTATGGCATCATGTTTGCTATGAGATGGCCTTTCTTCTAAACCTAAAAAGAGGAGAGAAAACCTCAACTCTTGGGCAATGGTGCTATTGTGGGGTGACTAGAATCGGCTAAAGTGTCACTCCTACCAGATGGTGTCTAGAAGACTCAGAATTCTGAAATTGTAGAGTCGAAAGTACTTTCCAGAGATCTTGCAACCCAACTCCCTCATTTTACCCAGGGGACTTTCAAGTTCAGAGACCTAGGCTTCTTTTACAAAGATTTTACTGAACTGCTAGACTGGGGTGCTTAGCAAACTACTTTAGTCTAAAAGTCTTAAAAATATAAACCACGAATAATTTCTTCCCACCGTGAAGAATGATCATGAGACCTAAATGAATACTGCTGGAAACACTGCACATACTTCCTGCCTGGCCAAGGAGCTTGCGCACCAGGGTTGGCTGCTGTCCCTGAGAGAGGGATCTTCCACCCCTAGGGAGGCAATAAAACTGAAACTTCAGGACCCCTTCTAAGGCCCTAGACCTAATAATATACTTTTTGGTTTTTGTCTTTGTATTCTTTTGCTTAAAGATCTCCTTCCTCCAATTTTATCAGCTTCAGGACCCTGAATTTTGCCCCGCCTGTCCTTTGTCATAAATCTAAATGTCTGATGTTCCAATACACTCTTGATCAAAAGAGGACACCAGATAAAGGTGAGGATGACTCTGCCTGGACCAGGCTTGGGAAAACAGTTTGGGCTGTTGAGAAAGTTGGGCTGGCTTTAACACCAAGGGCTGGTCCACAAGATGTTTCAAACTCCTACCTTGTTTCTACCCCAGCAGCTCATTGTCCAGACAAAACCCATCTCTCATATTTACAGACCTAGAATTTTAGAGCTGGCAAAGGCCTCATTTTGTCATCCTCCCTAATTTTGCAGACATTTAGAATGGCTTAAGCATCTTGGGCTCCTGAATTCCTCCCGGGGAAGTGAGGTGACAGTGTTGGCTAATGCTTTAAGCAGGCAGAATATTTGTCTCACTTGTCAGATATAACCTGCTTGGTGTGTCCCTGTGTGGGTGGAAAGCAGTAAATGAGGCCTACCCAGCTAAGCATGCAATTCTACACACCATCACTTACTGTTCATTCTGAGCAAAGCTTCTGAGTTTCTCTCTGAGGAAAGATGAAGCTGCATAGGACAGTGCCTGTGGAGAGAATTTAAAGCTTATCCATCATTTCATATTAATAGCTACTATTTATTTACCACCTACTATGGACCTGATGTTTTATCAATGAACTTTATTTTTATTTTTTAATTTTTTTGAGATAGAGTCTTGCTCTTTTGACCAGGCTGGAGTACAATGGTGTGATTTCAGCTCACTGCAACCTCTGCTTCCTGGGTTCAAGTGATTCTCCTGCCTCAGAATCCCAAGTAGCTGGGATTATAGGGACCCACTACCACGCCTGGCTAATTTTTGTATTCTTAGTAGAGACGGGGTTTCATAATGTTGGCCAGGCTAGTATCGAACTCCTGACCTCAAGTGATCCTTCAGCCTCAGCCTCCCAAAGTGCTCAGATTACAGGTGTGAACCACTGCTCCCAGCCTATCAACAACTTTATAAAACAGGTAGAAATCAAGGCTCAGAGAGGTTATGTGACTTATCCCAGTCACACAACTAGGGCATCCCTCTGCTTGTTTGGGGCATGTGGAGGCTAAAATTTAGAGTGTGTAAGGTGAGAGGAGGAAAGCAGAAAGACAATGGCCTTGTCAAACCTCCGTTCTTCCTTTCACACAGGCCTGTGTTTAAGTCTCAGTTATAACACATACTAGTTATGTGTGCCCTTGAGAAAGCTGCTCTTAATCTTGGTTTTCTTATTTATAAATTGAAGAAAATAACCCACTTCATAAAGCACTTGAGAAGATGAAATGATAGAATGTGGACCAAGCTCCATTCACAGCACATTTAGGTATAAAATAGTTCCTTTTGGTATGAACTGCTTACCCCCTATGCCTGAATGTCCAATTTCTCATTTTCTTTATGTCTTTACTAAATTGTCTCCTTATTGAGACCTCCCTGGCACCCTATCTAAAAGCCAAACCCCATACAATCTCTTCACATCCCCTTTCCTGCCTTATTCTATTACCAACTAATATATTACAAATTGTACTTAATTTGTTTGTCTTGTCTGTCTCCACCCACGAGAAAGAAAATTGTTTTGAGGCCAGTAGTCATCTTCTGCATTCCAATTTCTGTATCATCCCAAATACACAGAACTGTGCATGGTGCATGGTAGGTACTCAACGTATATTGATCAAATGGATGAAAAAAAAAAAAAAAACTTTGGCAACCTAAAGACCAAGTTTGAATTTGGCTTTTTTCCTAATCATTTGACTGTGCGTGCATTATTTAAAATGTCTAGCCCTTAACGTCCTCATTTGTAAAACAGGAGGAAAATGGTATCTATCATTAAGACAGCTGGGATGATTAAAAGACATCATTTTTAAACCCTCTGGCCTATAGCAAGTGCTCAATAAATGTTTGCCATTATTATTTGTAATAATCTAGTGGATCGTTAAAATTGTCTCTGTGCACCTCAGAGTTTTTAGGGCATGAGAAGAGGCTGAAAGTCACGAGTGCCTTTGGCCTTTTCAGCCCAATCGTCCTCCTTGTTAACTGATTACCAGTTGAAAGCGTGTGAAAGTTCTCAGCGATCACACCTCCAAGCTGCTGAGAGGTCAGCATTGTCATTCATTGAGAAAGAACAGGCTGGGGGAGCTCAAATGACTTACTTATGGTCTCTCGACTTAAAAACCAGGGCACGCAGGAACCAAACCCAGCCAGCCCTGGGCTTCCTGATACTGCATTTTCTCTCTACAGTGTGGGGTTGTTGGGAGCCCTGTGACTTCACCCTTGGGTTCAGCGGGGCCTTTCACCGGCCATCTCCCGCAGAGTACTTTTTCACCGTCAGTTTTCTCTGCAAGCAAAACGTGAAAAATAAGATCCACACCTCACAAGTTTGTGACCGGGATCACAGGCGAAAACAGCTCTTCGGAAACTCTAAAGCGCTGGACAAGTAAGTGCTGCAACAGGCAACCACACGCGAGCCCCTTTCAGCTGCCAGTCCCGGGACTCGCTCCTGTCTCCTCCCCTCTCCAAGACCGTGGAGTAGGAAGGAGGATTAACCCCTAGGGGAGGAGTTCCGTCCCCCGGCCCCCGCCCCGCCGCCGCCTCTCCTTTGCACCCACGCTCGCGCTCCCCGAGTCTCTCTCGCGCGCCGCATCCGGGCTGCGCTCTCCTGGACAGGCTCGGCACGGCGGGCCGGCCGCCAGGATGCAGGCCCCGCACAAGGAGCACCTGTACAAGTTGCTGGTGATTGGCGACCTGGGCGTGGGGAAGACCAGCATCATCAAGCGCTACGTGCACCAGAACTTCTCTTCGCACTACCGGGCCACCATCGGCGTGGACTTCGCGCTGAAGGTGCTCCACTGGGACCCGGAGACCGTGGTCCGCCTGCAGCTGTGGGATATCGCAGGTGAGCGCTGCGGGAGTGGGTTAGGAGGCGAGAGCGCCTCGCGGCCAGTGTCCAGTCTCGAGGCAGCGGCTTGTGGCCAAGCGTGAAATCGAAGTCACCAGGTCGCGAGGGATTTTTTCCTGGTGGGTTGGAAACTTAAGTTTCAAAGAAAAGAAAAACGTTTCTCGCCCTAGCTGAAACTTCAAGTGCATTCCCTGGCGCTTTGGGGCTATTGCTTTAGCTCCTTCCCGCACATTCCCCTGGGATCTCTCCGCCCAGAGCAGGCCTCCCCAGGGGAACCACAGGGAGATCGTCTGCAATTGCATTTTGTTCTCCACTCCAGCTCGTTTTCTGGGCGCGGGCATTTCTGCCAGTGACGCAGCCCAGTGTCACACACGTCCTTCCGTGCAGGGGCCGACCGAGGGGAAGCCCCTAGGCTGGTTCACAGCGGAAACGGGAATAGTTCCAGGCTAGCTGGAGTTTGACCATTCTTGTCTTCAGTCTTTCACTTTGTTCCAAATTTTGTCACCTTTCTCTCTGCCCTTAAGACAAAGGAGCTTGAGATTTTTTCCACCCTTTCAAGAAGCCAAGTACTTTTGTGTGTATATGTCAGAAGCAAAGTATTCTTTCTTCTTCTCTTTCTGTATTTCTCTCTGGCTCTCTGTCTTCTGTCAAAACGAGGTTGTGTATATATTTTAAAGCCATTTTTTATGTAAGGGCCTATGGTAGCTTTATGATTTCTTTATTTGGCCCTAAAATTTTCATTGAGAGATCTGGAAAATGAGAGGTTTTTTGTTTGTTTTTACAATATTTAAAATCAGAATTTGAATCCACAGGTTTGTACCAGAAGTTAAGTGTGAATCCTTGGACTAGGCTATTTGCAATCTGGGCATGACCAACTCCTCATTATAGATTTTAGCCCTGCCACTAACTAACCTGCTCAGTGGCTTTGGACAAGTCTCTTCAGCTCAGTTGCATCACTATTAAGTGGAATGGAGTTGGGCAAGGGTCAGGGATCTTCTTGCTCAGAAGTTTAAAGATCTTCTGGGATTCTCCTTGGGAACAACTTCAAACAGTCTTATTTCATGTCTATTTCATGGTCTATGACACCAGGAACCACACTTTATAAGTACTGGACCTAAACTACCCACTTCTGTTTCAGAAAATGGGTTCATTTTAGCTGATATGTCTAATTGGAAACACTTTATCATGGCTTGAAGCCAGAACAAATGTGGAAAATTTTTGAAAGGGCATTTGTGGTGTGGGGACTGTCATGCCTTTTTAATCATGAGCCTTATTCTTTTGTCAAGTAAACAAATGAGCAGATTCATGCATTTGGAGTCATTTTCAGCTGCTCTAGTAGCAAGGAGGTTATCAGAGACCAGGAGATGTTATCAGCTACTGTTGGATGGGGCATTTCATCTACAAAAATTCTCTCTGTGTACTTTGTTACTGTGTGTCATAATGTCTGAAAACTTTTCTGCTGCATGAAAATCTTCAGGATTCAGATTTAGAAATAGCTTGCTGTTTAAAAGGGGATGTAGCTGTAATTTGGACTTTTATGTACAATCCAAGTTAGAGTATGACAGCAGACAAGTTCTATATCTGTGGATTGTCTCCTCACATAAACAGAGGAGATGGAAGGGTGTAGTGATTAATTGCCCAAATTCCAGAGTTGAACTGCTTCCATCTGGGTCCTTATTCTACTCCATATGTAGCAGCGATCTTAGGTAAGTTCTCTAACCTCCTTGTTTTAGTTTCCTTACTTGTAAACAGGGAGAATGCCTTCTCTCAATAAATGACAGATAAGCAACCAACAGTGTTAGCTGAAGGTGATCATGCCTGTTCCTAAGAAATCTGCAAGGATTACTACTACACTAGCTACCAGTTTTTGAGCCCATATAAATGCTAGGCAAGAAGGATATGATATGCAAGTGATTATTAATTCCTAATAATGATCCCAATATGGCATATATACTTTGTCCCCAGGTTATCACCATTTTCAGCTTTGCTATTTTACAACATACTGTCAGGAGCAGTTTAACTCCCAAGCTCGAAAGCGCTTTGGTAGCCATGTTTGTAGCCTGAAGTTGCTGTGGAGGCTATAGTCACAGAAGTCTGAATAAATAAGAAATCTGTAGTCTTGAGACATTTGTTCTACAGATACTGTGGTGGTGGTGTTATGCTCAACATCTCAGTAGAGGAGCTTGTTTTTCCCGAGGTGTAATGCTTAGTGGTAACCTGTGTTTAGCAGCCTCAAGCCCAAAAGCCCTATCAGGTGAATTAGAGATTGGACAACAGGCACAGTGACTTGGGTAGAAGCCAGGCCACTGTGGGAAATGGTTGGAGCATGCATGCGCTCCACTTTTCATGGTTTAAGCTTCATAGGGCGCCCTATGGGTTATGAGCTCATGTGAATTCCAGCCTCAACTGCCCACTCAGACTCCAGTCAGCCAGGTGTACCTTATAATACCTTCAAATCACAGCCTGTCTGTCCACAGATAAGAATGCATCTCTCCCTTCCTAGTGTTCAACTCCGGTGTGTGTCTGGAGAGAACAGGTGGTGGAGGTTAGTGGGGCTAGCTTTGAGAAGGTTGTGGGTGTTCAATGAGACAGGGAGAACCTGCACTGTTCTGATATATACCTGTTATTGAAGGAATATTGGCTCAGCTAGACTCTTGATGTTCATTTGGTTCAATGCCAAATAGGGCCCTATTTATCCACTAAATTCCCATGATAAATCCCTTGTAGCCCTGTAGATTGGCCAGTATGGTGTTGAAAGACTCCAAAAAGTAGCTCTAGGGTCTTAAGAAATAGACCTTGAAACAAGGTGATAAATCCCACCAAACCCCGTGGGGATAGCAGTTGGCCTGGATTCCAGTGATTTCACCCCAGAGGGTCAGCTGGGTCCTCTCTGTGTTCAGAGGCTCTTGATAGGGTCAGAGAAATGAAGTAACTTTGCCTGAGGCCACCCAGCTAATAGAAGAGCCAGAATTGACCTGGTTCTGTTTGACTCAGAATCAAGCTATGTTGTTTGTACTTGCTGGCCTGTGAGTGCCTGGCCCACAGCTGGCCCACAGGGATTATGCCTTCTTCCTTTTTAAAGGTGTTGTTTCATTAGTAGGTGGGTTGACCTTGCCTTCTCCTTTCTATTTCTAACTGGATTTGTGATATTAGTATCACTGTGCATACAGAAAAAAGAAATGAATAAAAACCTATTTCTGAAAATTTGATCTTGATTAGGATGTGAATGTATAAGGTTTTTTTTTAAATTAATAGGTCAATTAGGGAAAAGGAAAACAAAAAGTTCACATTTGAGACTCTACTTTTTTATTACCCTCCAAATCCAGAGACTATAATTGCTCATACACACTTTCAAAAAAACTATACTATTTTGTCTAGAACTCTTGCTGTGCTTTGGGACTCTGACGCAGCCATTGAGACATTTATAGGGATAGTTGCTAATATTTCTTAAACCCTTATTCTTATAAATGTCCCGGCATATTTAATTTATAATTTCCCAGTATAGTAACTGGTTAGGCCATTAGAATTAAAAATTGACCATTGAATCTGTTTTCAACAGATTTGCTCTACTTCCCTCAATTTCAAAACAGAATACTTCAGACATAACTTGAATATATTCTAAATTATAGGTATTCTGAAAATATAATTGGGCAAAGTGTGAAACCTTACTGAACCTCAATTGCCTCATCTATAAAATGATGATTATTTAATTTTCCTGTGATACTTAGAAACTCTTTTGTGGTCTCTGTAAAGCAAAATGTTATATTATCACTATGCTCAGGGTATAGGTAGCACATGGTCATTTATTCCATCTTCTTTACTTACTAGCTTTGTGACTTGTGTGAGTTACTTAGCCTCTGTGCCTTGGTTTTTCTGTCTGGAAAATGGGGATAATAACAATATCTGTATCTTAGAATTTTTAGAAGAATTAAATGAATGAATTTATACAAAGCTGTGCCTGACACATAATAAATGCTGAATGAGTGTCAGATATTATTCTTGTTATTGTAATTGTTATTATTACAGACTATTTTCACATACATTTTCCCACTTGATCTTCCCAGCATTGCTAACGGTGTACACGAGCAGATGGTGCTAAACCCACTTTTTATTAAAAAAAAGATAAAAAATGATAGAGGTAAGAGACTTATCTGAGATCATAAGTGACAGAGGAGAACAGGAACAGTTGGTCTGTTCAGCTTCAGCTTACTGACATGAATGAGATAACCCAGTCTGTTAGTAATCAGAAAACCTAATTCTAGTTTTATATTGCTATAGTAGAAAATAAATTAAGTTGGCAGACAATTTAGAGAGTGTTTCTTTACCATGTAAAAGTTTCACTGCAGAGCTCTGCTAAATAACAGATGCCTCTAAATACTTCAAATAAGATCTACCCTGTAAGAAAAATATTTCCACTCATGGCACATCTATACTAACTTCCCCCACCTAAGCCATGTGACAAGACAGCACAGGAATACATTAACTGTCCCACAGACAAAGTAACAGGATGAAGGCAGCCCGGGCCCCGTGTCCGGAGTCCTTGGGTAACTAACTCTTCACACCAGCAACTCTGACACTTATTTGGGTCACAGTGGTGTGTTGTTTTAGAGTTTGTAAGGTGCTTTCAGGTTGTGAAATTCAACCGAACATAGGGTTTGGACTTGACTATCTCTTCAGTACTTATTTCTAAAAGACTGTATTTCTCCAAGGAGTTTTACAAGACAACTCTTAAATGTCAAGATAATAGGTCTAGGAATGTAGAAAGAGCTAAATTTGGCGATGAGTGTGTCAAATAAAAGCTCCCCAAAATGCATGTTGAGTCTGAGCCATGCTCCACTGGGCAGTTTACTGCCTTGTTTCTAGCCTAGCTAATTACGGATTTTCTAAATGCGAAGTAAAATAACATGCTTTGTGTTTACAGGTAAATGATGTGTACATTGAGCAAAAATGGTGAACTTTCAAAGTGGTAATGAGGGATATGTGGGGAAGGCACCTCA